TCCTTTCCAATTATCCACCCATTGACTTGTACGCTGTCCCTCTCCCCACATTAGAATGGAGACTTCACTGGCCAGGGGCCTCATCTGTCTTCATCTTCACCCTATCACTGGTACTTATGGCCTGGCACATAATAGATGCTCAGTAAACACTTGTAGATGGAAGAGCAGTTAACTAGAAACATTGCTCATCACTTAATGGGCCCTTAAACATTAAATAATGTCCCCCAGTGCAGTGGAATTCTGTGTATCACTAAAAATGATGATGCTGTGGCCAGGCACAGTGGCTCATGCCTGTAATCCCAGCACTTTGGGAGGCAGAGGCGGGTAGATCACAAGGTCAGGAGTTCAAGACCATCCTGACCAACATGGTGAAACCCCATCTCTACTAAAAATATAAAAATTAGCCAGGCATGGTGGTGGGCACCTGTATTCCCAGCTTCTCAGGAGGCTGAGGCAGAATTGCCTGAACCCAGGAGGCAGAGGTTGCAGTGAGCCAAGATCGCACCATTGCACTCCAGCCTGGGTGACAGAGCAAGACTCTGCCTCAAAAAAAAAAAAAAAAAGTAAAAAGAAAGGATGGTGCTGTTTAACTTTCATTGACATGGAAGATGTCAAGGATTTCATCAAGTGAACAAAACAGGAATAAACCATGTATATAGACATCAAATTACATTTGCATATTTACACGCAATTATGGAAATAGAGATTTGTAGGAAAATATTAACCAAGATGTTTGTAGCAAATAATATTAGGTAATGGAGGGGTTAAATAGCTCATTTTTAGGTGTTTTTATTTCAATTTTTAAATTTAGTACGTGTTAGCCTCATAACTGGAAAAAATAAAATTATTTATACGTCAGGGGAAAAAATAAAATGAAATAAAAGTGCCACCTCCAAGGAGCTGAGAGGAACAGGCCAGGTACTAAGGTCTCTTTCCTGTGACTGACACCTCCTCATTGTCCCTCCCGAGTTTCTCTCCTTTGAGGTGAGGACCGGCCCAGCATCTCTGGCACAGCGCCTGCAGGTAACAATGCTGCCTTGGGCCCTTACAGATTTGCTGAGAAGGTAGATCTTATGTTAAGTGTACTTTTCAGCATAAATTGATATGTGATAACATAAATATTATTAAATACTAACAAATAGGCCAGGCGCAGTGGCTCACACCTGTAATCAAAGCACTTTGGGAGGCCAAGGTAGGCTGATCATTTAAGGTCAGGAGGTTTTTTTTGTTTTGTTTTTTTTGTTTGTTTGTTTGTTTTTTTGAGACAGAGTTTTCACTCTCCTTACCCAGGCTGGAGTGCAATGGCGCGATCTCAGCTCACCGCAACCTCCGCCTCCTGGGTTCAGGCAATTCTCCTGCCTCAGCCTCCCGAGTAGCTGGGATTCCAGGCACGCACCACCATGCCCAGCTAATTTTTTGTATTTTTAGTAGAGACGGGGTTTCACCATGTTGACCAGGATGGTCTCGATCTCCTGACCTTGTGATCCACCTGCCTCGACCTCCCAAAGTTCTGGGATTACAGGCTTGAGCCACCGCGCCCAGCCAGAGGTCAGGAGTTTGAGACCAGCGTGGTCAATTTGGTGAAACCACCCCCTCCCCCGTCTCTACTAAAGATATAAAAAATTAGCTGGGCATGGTGGCATGTGCCTGTAATCCCAGCTACTTGGGAGGCTGAGGCAGGAGAATCACTTGAACCTGGGAGGCAGAGGTTGCAGTGAGCCCAGATTGTGCCACTGAACTCCAGCCTGGACAACAGAGTGAGACTCCGCCTAAAAAAAAAAAAAAAAAAAACACTTTTGAGTTGTGACTTTATTTCTTCTTGTTTTCTTATTTTTGATGGAGTTCATTCGAATGTTTCCACACTTGCCATTCGGGGATATTGGGACAGAATGACACAGCCACAGGCCAGCCACCACGACCATGATTCCTTTCCCAAGAATGAGGAAGGTTGTGGCCAATGACGTTGTTTCATATTATGCTACTGCTTTGCAAGGTGATACTGTTGTTAATTTTATTTCTTACATTTATTATTTTGGATACTACTGTGAATGTACTAACTGTCTCCCCATTTAGGTATGGATGGATGTATTATTCTGAGATGGAGTCTTGCTCTGTCACCCAGGCTGCAGTGCAGTGGCACGATCTCTCCTTCAGATTTCCTGCCTTAGTCTCATGGCTCTGTTGTTATTGTTGGATGCAAGTTTTATTGTTTATTTTATTTACCTTTTAGCAGCATTATTCAGCTGCGGTTGATATCCTAAAACACCATCTCCCTCAATGTACACAGTTAGATGAATTTGGACATATGCAATAACCCCTTACAGGACATTCTCCTGCATGCGTTGTTGTGGTTTTTTTTTTTCGCTTCTCACAGGCAAGTATTTAAGGCATTTCCGTCTCCGAGCTACACATGGAGAAATAGAGGCTCACAGAGGAGGAAGGTTGGGTCCAGGTCACCTGTCCCTGTTCCTCCAGGTTGCGGAGCAGAGACCACCCACCTTGGGGCTGCAAGAGTTTGACACGTGTCTTGGGCGCCCCCTGTGGCCGAAGTGGAGAAACTCCCTGCTTAGTTAATTTCTTTTCCATCTGGCATTCAATTTTCTCATTCAGTATTTGTTGGTCCTCTCCTGTGTGCCAGACACTTCCAGGCTCTCGAGGCCCGTCAGTTTACAAAACAAGCCTCCCTTCCATCCAGGAGCTTATATTCTTGCAGAAGGAGACAGGCAAAAACCCATGGGCATAAGCACAGTCACAGCCTACTAGAAGGTGAAACTGATTTGGATAAATGAGGAAGCGCAGAGGCTGTCCAAGGGGTCTGGAGGGCACAAAGGCCAGCGTGGGGAGCAGTGTGGTGGGTGGAGACTGAGGGGCGGGGACTGGGAAATGGCCACGATTACCCTGAGTGAGCTGGGAGGTCACACAAATATACACAAATGACCCCAAGTAGAACACCCCTTCACTGAGGATTCTTTTCCCCAACTTACTCTAGAAAGCTGAGCTGCCTCTCTCAACAGGGAAGGCTTATCCCATTAGACTTCAAACATCCTCAGCAATTCCCTGCCCACTTCTTTCCAGGAGACCACCCACCTGAGTGCGACAAGGGTTTGACACGTGTCTTGGGCGCCCTCTTGTGGCCGCGGTGGAGAAACTCCCCGCGGATCAGGATTCCTCCATCCTGATCTAGACGGACACCCAGTGACCCTTAAAAACCTGTCCAGGCCGGGCGCGGTGGCTCACGCCTGTAATCCCAGCACTTTGGGAGGCCGAGGCGGGTGGATCACGAGGTCAAGAGATCGAGACCATCCTGGTCAACATGGTGAAACCTCCTCTCTACTAAACATACAAAAAATTAGCTGGGCATGGTGGCACGTGCCTGTAATCCCAGCTACTCAGGACGCTGAGGCAGGAGAATTGCCTGAACCCAGGAGGCGGAGATTGCAGTGAGCCGAGATCGTGCCATTGCACTCCAGCCTGGGTAACAAGAGCGAAATTCCGTCTCAAAAAAAAAAAAAAAAAAAAACCCTGTCCTGGACGCCTCGCAGTGCTCTTCACATTCACAGTTTGTGACAGGATGACCCCAGAGCTGAGCAGTGCACAACCTACACGGTTGAGAAATGCTGAGTGTATGAGGGACTATATTGTTTGCTGAGAAGAACGATAGCAAGGAAAACCTAGCCGCCCCCCCCCCCCCCCCCCCCCCCCCCCGCCAAGTGGAAAACTGCTTGGGGCATTCCAAAGTAGCAAAACATAGATTTATATCATGCACCGGTGAAAACAATTCTTTAAGCAGGGCTATGTGACCTGCCCCTGTGGCTCCCTCGTGGAGAGTACTTTCTGCCTTGTCCTTGATCAGTGGTAAGCAGGCACCAGCTGCCTGCCTAGTTTATCTTGGGTCTATGAGAAAACACAGAACACCTGTTTGCTAATGATCATCACCTGTTCACAGAGAACAACTGCATGGGTCAGAGTCCCTCAAGGCCCTCAGCCCAGGATACTGTCAGCCCTGAGGCTCTCAGCTGGGAAGGCTCTTGGCCTCGGAGAGTCCCACTTTGCTGTTCTATCTGGGTGTCTGCTTCTTAATGCCTTCAGCGCCGCCTGGGTGGGGGTTTGTATGGCAGAGCTGCACTTGGTACTACACAGCTGGACACGATGGGGCTGCCACCGTTCCTCTGTGCTCCTACTGCGCTGTGCGCTGACCCTGTCATTTCACTGGGTGGGTCACTGTCAGCTTCTCTCCTCTCCTCTCAATATCCTGTAAGCTTTTAAGGATAAATACGATGAGTGTTCCATCCATGTCACCGGTACTCAGAAGAGGGGCCGAAACGTTTGAAAGGGAAATATGAGGCCCGGCGCGGTGGCTCACGCCTGTAATCCCAGCACTTTAGGAGGCCGAAGCGGGTGGATCACGAGGTCAAAAGATCGAGACCATCCTGGTCAACATGGTGAAACCCCGTCTCTACCAAAAATACAAAATTTAGGGCCGGGCGCGGTGGCTCACACCTGTAATCCCAGCTACTCGGAAGGCCGAGGCAGGAGAATTGCCTGAACCCAGAAGGCGGAGGCTGCAGTGAGCCAGACCACGCCTTTGCACTTCAGTCTGGGTAACAACAGCAAAACTCCGTCTCAAAAAAAAAAAAAAAAAAAAAAAAGTTGGCGGGGTGAATATTAGAGACCCCTCAATAGCAGGAGACCTAAGAGAATAAATTGCCTGGGTAGCTGTGATTAGATTTCTCTAAGAGTTTGAATAATGACAGAAAGGTTGTAGGAACTGGCGTATAAGTATGTAGGGTCGCTGGCAGTGTGTAGAGTCACTGAAATCAGCTAAGGAATCCTGGAGCAGTCTCAGGAGCCAGCTGGGCACAGTGGCTCAGGTCTGTAATCCCAGCACTTTAGGAGGCTGAGGCGGGCGGACTGCTCAAGTCCACGAGCTCAAGACCAGCATGGGAAACATGGCAAAACCCCACCTCTACAAAAAATTAGCTGGGTTTGGTGGCACACACCTGTAGTTCCAACTACACAGGAGGCTGAGGCGGGAGAACTGCTTGAACCCGGGAGGCAGAGGTTGCGGTGAGCTGAGATCACAGCTCTGCACTCCAGCCTGGGTGATAAAGCAAGATTCTGTCTAAAAAAGAAAAAAAGTAGGGAATGTGACCAGATGAACCAAAACACCAAATACTTTTCTTTGGCCTTTCCTGTCCTTCCAGATACCTTCTCTCTTTCTCTTTCCCTTCACAGAGGTCCCCCTGGGTTATCTGCTGACCTCTCCGCCCTTCCTGGCCTCCTCTCTCTCTCTGGCCATCTCCTCTGCAATCTGGCCTCCCCTGCACAGCCACCTGGGTCCGCTCTCACCCAGGCCCCCAGTGAACTGCGGATTCTAAGTCCAGTTGATCTCTCTCTCTCTCTCTCTCTCTCTCTCTCTCTCTCTCTCTCTCTCTGTCTCTCTCTCTCCCCCTCCCCCGCTCCCCCCTCCTTTTCCTTTCTTTCTTTCTTTCTTAAAACACACTTGGCCTGCTTTTGAGACCACAAGGAAGGGGACAGTGCATCTCCCAGTCCAGGCTCCTGGGACCCATCTCGCTTTTCCTCCCTCTTTGCTTTCCCAGACTGCTGCTGCCAGGATGTCACCCAGAGCTCCTGTCCCTTTTATCTCTCCATTGTTGCTGTTCTCAGCCGCTTTCTCCCCGACCTCTGCCCTTCCCACTGTGCCATCCAGAATCAGCCACATAATTGGTAGGATCCATTGCAAATGAGGACATAGGGTCCCTTCTTCAAAACATTAAGGAATTTCAAATTGGTGACAGCTGAACATTAAAAGAAGCGTGGTGCCAGGCGCGGTGGCTCACGCCTGTTATCCCAACACTTTGGAAGGCCAAGGCGGATCATCTGAGGTCAGGAGTTCAAGACCAGCCTGGCCAACATGGTGAAACCCCATCTCTACTAAAAATACAAAAATTAGCTGGACATGGTGGCACGTGCCTATAATCGCGGCTACTCAGGAGATTGAGGCAGGAGGATCGCTTGAACCTGGGAGGCAGAAGTTATACTGAGCTGAGATCTCACCATTAGCACTCCAGCCTGGGTGACACAGACTCCATCTCAAAAACAAAAACGCTGGGCACAGTGGCTCACGCCTGCAATCCCAGCACTTTGGGAGGCCGAGGCAGACGGATCACCGGAGGTCAGGAGTTCGAGACCAGCCTGGTCAACATGGTGAAACCCCCAACTCTACTAAAAAAAAAACACAAAAATAGCTGGGTGTGGTGGCGCACGCCTGTAGTCCCAGCTACTGGGGAGGCTGACGCAGGAGAATCACTTGAACCTGGGAGTCGGAGGTTGCAGTGAGCTGATATTGCATCACTGCACTCCAGCCTGGGCAACAGAGCGAGACTCCATCTCAAAAAGAAAAAAATTAAGAAAGAAAAAAGAAAAGTGTGGGCTCTTCCGAGCATGGGGCACTGGACAACCCATGAAGCTGGCCCTGCTTTGGCCCCAACCACCCTCTCTAAGGGGTACTGTGGCAGGCAGAATACCCCCACCCAACCCCCGCCCCTGAAACATGTCCATGGACAAATCTCTGGGACCCGTGAATGTGTTACAGAACTCTGCAGGTGTGGTTACGATTAGGAATCTTACGTAGGGGAGATGATGCTGGCACGAGGGTCGCTTGCATGTGTCCCCTCGGCTGGGCTCTAAGCTGAGTTATTCCATCCAACTCCCGTCGGGTGCTGTGGCACACTCTGGAGATGTGGGGAACATCTGCCATCCACGCACTCTCACTGAAGATCAGCCTTGTCACACTGGGGGCTCATCCAAGCCGTTCATTAAGTGCAAAACAGAGGTTTCCCTGAGGAAGAAGAAATTCTGACTCCAGATTGCGGCCCTGGCCCCGCCTCAGTTTCCCTCCAACCCTGTGGGTTCCAGGCTCGCACAATTCAATTTGTGAAACAGATCTCTTACACACATTTCTTTTTTCTTTTTTTTTTTTTTGAGACTGAGTCGTGCTCTGTGGTCCAGGCTAGAATGCAGTGGCCTGATCTCAGCTCACCATAACCTCTGCCTCCTGCATTCAAGCGATTCTCCTGCCTCAGTCTCCTGAGTAGCTGGGATTATGGGCGCCCACCACTACACGTGGCTGTTTTTGTATTTTTTTTTTTTTTTAGTACAGTTGGGGTTTCACCATGTTGACCAGGCTGGTCTTGAGCTCCTGACCTCAGGTGATCTTGCCCGCCTCAGTCTCCCAAAATGCTAGGATTACAGGCATGAGCCACTGCGCCTGGCCATTATATATGTCTTAACGCATGTAAATAACGTGTGATGTAGCACGGGCACGTGCTTCACACGATGAACCGCCTTACATGAAGGAAGCCAGAGACGTAGGGCTGTGTGACGTATGTATGATTCCATTCACCCAGTGTCGGGAACAGGCAATCCACAGAACCAGAAAACAGGGGAGTGGTTTCCAGGGCTGCAGAGAGCGGGCCATGGCCAGCAACTGCTGAATGTGGTTTTCTTTTGGGGTGATGAAAATGTTTGGGAACTTGATGGGGTGATGGCTGCATAACTGCCAATGTACCAATTAGGTACGTCCCACTGGGAATGTACTAAATGTCACTGAACCTTAAGGTGGTTAATTTTATGTCATGTGAATTTTACGTCAATGAAAAAATGCATAATAAAAGTCTGTTATATATAAATATATATTATAAATAGTATCTATATATTATATAAAATATTGTATATAAATATATATTATAATTACATATAAATATATATTATAAATATTATATATTATAATTACATATAAAGACATTATAAATATCTATATATTATATTAAATATTGTATATAAATACATATAATTACATATAAATATATATTATAAATATTATATATTATAATTACATATAAAGACATATTATAAATATCTATATATTATATTAAAATATTGTATATAAATATATATTATATAAATATTGTATATAAATATATATTATAATTACATATAAGTACATATTATAAATATTATATATTATATATAAGTATTGTATATAAATATATATTATAAATATTATCTATATATTATATTAAATATTGTATATAAATACATATAATTACATATAAATATATATTATAAATATTATATATATGAATATGTATATTTGATTACTGAGTTTCTGGTGACCACTGCCCGCTCCCCCCTTAAATTTTGCGGTGGGTGCTGAGTCCCAGCCTTCTTCAGCCCATGCCCTGCAGGGACTCCAGAGGGAACTCTAACACCTGGACCTCTCCGTGCCATTCCTCTGAGGTTCCCCCACACCTGTGGGACAAAGTGAGGCTCCCAGTGGCTTTCAAGCCGGCTTCTCCAGGCAAATCAAACTACCCCAGCATGTGAGAGAGCCCCACCTGGCTTCCCCACCCTGCTCCAATATCCATCCTCCTCTCCTGGGCTCCATAAACTCCCACTCCCCCTTCAAGACCCAGCTCAAGGGTGCTTCCTAGTTATCAAAAATCGACTATCCTCTCACCAGTGCTACAACCCCAACCCCAGCTAGGGGTAAAACCACTGACATAGCCTCCCACATGGGCTTCCCCTTTCTCTCACTGAGCGGCCTCCTACCTGGGCTTCCCTCTCTCTCTCCCTCTGACCCTGATCCAGCCTCCCACCTGGGCCTCCACCTCCCTCCCACTGACCCAGCCTCCCACCTGGGCCTCCACCTCCCTCCCATTGACCCAGCCTCCCACCTGGGCCTCTACCTCCCTCCCACTGACCCAGCCTCCCACCTGGGCCTCCACCTCCCTCCCACTGAGCCAGCCTCCCACCTGGGCCTCCACCTCCCTCCCATGGAGCTGCATCCTGCCTTGGGACCCTGCTGTCCCCATGTCAGGCCCCACCCACACTGGCCTGCAGGAATTGTCCTAACACCCAAACCCCAATCTCTTGTCACCAGTGGACACGGGTGCTTAAATGAGATATGACCTTTCTATGATGGAGTGGCTGCAGGCAGGGAAGTTCATCTGGGGGACCCGCAGCAAAGCCAGAGCTGCCCCTCAGACACCCTCCAACCTCTTCATCCACTCTCAGCTTTCAGTCTGACCTTCTCCCTCCTCTCTCTCTCTCTCTCTCTCTCTCTCTCTCTCTCTCTCTCTCTCTCTCTCTCTCTCACTCATACAGCTGCAATCTGGAAGAAATTACTCTTCTAAACAGCCAGACTTCCCCAGTTTCAGGAAATTCCAAGCTGGGCAGGGGAGGGGCCAGGCTGGGGGCGCGCCCGGTCCAGCCCCACCCCCTCTGCCCGTTCCCCTGCACACTCAGTCCGGCCTCCTGCTGCCTCCACATTCAGCCCGGAGGGGCCTTAGCGTCTCCACCACGGCTTTCTAGTCCTTTAAATCCTAGAGGCAAACTTTTGGGGGATAAGAAAGGCTGGGAGGGGCCTGTGCCAAAACCCTCTCTGCATGGGGACTGGGTGGTGATTCCGCTTCTGCCTGGGCTCCCACCATGGCCCCGGAGAGGGGCTAACACTTTAGCTCTCGGTGCAGGTAAAGGAGGCCTATGCCAGCGCTTTCCAGGGGTGGGGCCTGAACTCCAGGGTCCGAGGGAGGAGGGGCTGGGGCCTGGACTCCTGGGTCCGAGGGAGGAGGGGCTGGGGCCTGGACTCCTGGGGCCTGGACTCCTGGGTCCGAGGGAGGAGGACTAGGGCCTGGACTCCTGGGTCCGAGGGAGGAGGACTGGGGCCTGGACTCCTGGGTCTGAGGGAGGAGGGGCTGGGGTCTGGACTCCTGGGTCTGAGGGAGGAGGGACTGGGGTCTGGACTCCTGGGTCTGAGGGAGGAGGGGCTGGGGGCCTGGACTCCTGGGTCTGAGGGAGGAGGGGCTGGGGGCCTGGACTCCTGGGTCTGAGGGAGGAGGGACTGGGGGGGGGTCTGGACTCCTGGGTCTGAGGGAGGAGGGGCTGTGGTCTGGACTCCTGGGTCTTAGGGAGGAGGGACTGGGGGGGGTCTGGACTTCTGGGTCTGAGGGAGGAGGGGCTGATGTCTGGACTCCTGGGTCTGAGGGAGGAGGCGCTGGGCCTGGACCCCTGGATCTGAGGGAGGAGGAGCTGAGGGCCCCTGACTTTCGGGCCTGGGTGGGATTAAGAGAGCTAAGCGCTCGGACGCCTGGGCCCTGCGGGCGAAGGAGGCGGTGGCTGTGCGGACCGGGTGCCTGGCTCCCGGATTCCCTCCGGGATCCGCATGACACTTTCTTTGCCAGGTGAGATCCCGCCCCGAGGAACAAGGAAGGAGGCGCGGGCCGGGGATTAGGAGGCGGAGGCGGACTCGGAGCCGCGGAACCAGGGTCCGGGCTGGAGCCGGAGTCGTGAGCGCGCGCCTGGCCCGCTCTGGGAGGACCGCGAGGTGAGGCGCGGCGGGGGACCGGGGTCCCGGGTCCGGCCGGGAGGGAAGACGGGCAGAAACCCCCGAGACGCGGCCGCTCGATTCCCCGCCGCAGCCACGTGGCCTTAGGGAGCGCGCGGTGAAGCCCACGCGGCGCAGCGGGTCTCCCCATCTGGGGTCCCCGGACCCCGCCTCGCCCCACCCGCCTCCCCGCCGCTCCCACGGGTCTGAGAACCAGTCGGGCCGGATCTGGAGCGGGTTGTTATTTCCCTCCTGGCGGGGCTGGGGCTGAGCGGGGACAGAGGTGAGCCCGCGGTGCCCCCCCACCCTGCGGCTGCAGCCGGGGCCCTGCCGAGCCGGAAAGAGCGGGGTGGGTGGAGGCGCGGGGAGGGCGCGCGGCCCTGGCCGCCCGGGGCTCCACGCTGCGCCCCCCTTTCTGCCTGTTTCACTTGGGTCACAAACAACAGCCCCTCTGTCCCGAGCCCTGGCCGCGTGAGGGACTTTTTCCAAGCATGACCTCATTGCCTTAAGCACTGCGCAGCGGAGGGAGGCCGGAGGCTTCTGCTTTTGAGGACTCGGGCTGGCAGAAGGAGAGTGACTTACCCAGGGTCTCTGAGCGAGGGCGCAGAGGTGGCATTCCAAAACCGTGTCCAACTCGAAAAGACCCTGGCCTTTATAGCAAATCCAAACGTTATGATTTTATTTTCTGTGGGGTGGCATGCGCATCGCCTCCTGTGGGGAGCCGCAGTCCATCTGGATTCCAAACCTGGCCCCCAACACTTGCTGCTGTGTGACCCAGGGCAAGTTCCTCAATCTCTCCACGTCTCAGCCGTCACGCCTCTGTAAGATGGGGTTGTCCTGAAGATTACATAAATTCTTTCATATGTGGGGAGGCACTTAGGTTGGAGCCTGGCCCGGGATAAGCAATTGGGAAATAAAATTTCAGCGCCCTGAGTATAATCTTTCTTTCTTTCCTTCTTTCTTTCCTTTCTTTCCTTCTTTCTTTCCTTTCTTTCCTTCCTTTCTTCCTTCTTCTTTCTTTTCCTTCCTTTCTTCTTTCTTTTTCTCCCTCCTCTCCTTCCCTCCCTCCTTTCCTTTCATTCCTTTCCTCCTTTCTCCCTGTCTGTCTCCGTTTCTCTCTCTCTCTCTCTCTCTCTCTCTCTCTCTCTCTCTCTCTCTCTTTCTCTCTCTCTCTCTCTCTCTTTCTCTCTCTCTCTCTCTCTCTCTCTCTCTCTTCTTTTCTGGAGACAGGGTCTCACTCTGTTGGCCAGGCTGAAGTGTATGTAGTAGGGTGATCACAGCTCACTGCAGCCTCAAACTCCTGGGCTCGAGGCATCTTCCCTCTTCAGCCTCCTTCAGCTGGACTGCAGGTGCATGACATGGCACCTAGCGAATTTTTTATTTTTATTTTTGTAGAGGAGACATCTCACTTTGTTGCCCAGGCTGGTCTTGAACTCCTGGGCTCAAGCAATCCTTCTGTCTCAGCCTCCCAAAGAGCTGGGATTACAGGTGTGAGCCACGGGGGCACCCAGCCACAAACAGGAATTACAACCCGTTTTTTAAGGAGTAAACTGAGCTTTAGGTTGGGGAGCCAGTTTGGGATCCGGCAGAAGGAAATGGCAAAACCTGAGCCCAGATGTGTTTGATGTCAGGAACCAAGACCTTCACGTGTGTTGCCAGGTGCTGCGAAGTGGTGGTGACTGATAGGGCAATGGCAGAGGGGTGCCCGATGCATGCTGGAAGCAGGGTCTGAGCGGAAGCAGGAGCTGAGAGCTGGCCAGGAGTCAAGAGGTCAAAGAGAGTGCAGGGAGCCCGCTCTGGACTCTGGAGTCCCCCGGAGCTGGCTTTGTGATGTGGCCAGTCATGTCCTTTCTCTGATCATGCGTTTCCTCTGTGGAACATGGGGAGAACGGTCCATTGAGCATGTGTTAACTGAACGTTCACTGTGTGCTGGGCACTGTGCTAAGTCTTTCACTAGCATCATTCCACCAATTCTTGCAAAAGGACCATGAAGTATTGTATTACCATCGTGCCACTTTCAGGATAAGGAAAGGGGGTCAGAAAGGTCAAGTAAGTTGCTCAAAGCCACACAGCAATCGGCACGGCCAGATTCAAAGCTGGGCAGCGGGCTTTCTGAATTCTACCTTCTCACCTCTAACTCACTGCAAAGCAAGTGCTGAGATAATAGTCTCTGTTAGCAGCTAGAGAGGATTTTTTTTTTTTTAACTGTGGATCCGGAAGATACATTAATGAGCTGAGTTCAACATTTAAAAATAAAATAGATTACAACAGAAAATATCAGAGTGTCTACCACCTTGTAAGACAACTCTTTGCTGGGTGTGGTGGCGCACACCTGTAATCTCGGCACTTTGGGAGGCCAAGGCAGGCAGATTGCTTGAGCTCAGGAGTTTGAGACCAGCCCAGGCAACGTGGCAAAACCCTGTCTCTACCAAAAAACAAACAAACAAACAAACAAAATAACACTACACGGTGGTGTGAACCTGTGGTCCCAGCTATTCAGGAGGCTGAGGTGGGAGGATCACTTGAGTCCGGGAGGCAGAGATTGCAGCGAGCCAAGATCTCTCACCACGGCACTCCAGCCTGGGCAACAGAGCGAGACCTTGTCTCAAAGCAAAACAAGTCTTGTGTCATAAAATTTTTGTTTCCATTATGGGGAAGAAGGGAGTGGAGATTGTGTGCTAGGTAACAACGAAAATATATTTATTCATCCAGGTTGAGGTCAGAGAAATCTGATAAACCCTGCAGAGGCAGTAAATCAAAACTGGTTTCCCCATGGAAATAAATGTAAAGCGCGCGCGTGTGTGTGTGTGTGTGTGTGTGTGCGCGCAAGGCAGTCTTCAGAATATAGCCTTCTACAATTGTTTTAAATCCCTTTGGCTTTCATTTTCCTCCATATTATCACCAGTACTTCCCAGGTGCCTGTTACTATGAAAACAATGTCACCTGCTTTGCCTTTCTCGTAGCGTTCCAGCCAACCTAATTTTTGTTCCACAGTTCTCGCTAGGGAAATATTTCCCACCAACACTAGCATGACCGATTGCTTAGCACTATTACAAGCACAGTTTTCTTTGAACTTTTCTATGTATCCTGAAAGGAAGGTAATGTTATTTTATTTGTCTTACAGATAGAAAAATAGGGAGATAAAGTAATTTATTCCACTCATACAGCTGGCAAAGGGTGCGGCTGCAGTTGCAATAGGTTTTTATTATTGTAACAGTGACTGTTAAAACAAAAGTACAAGGTCACCAAAGTCCCTCCCAGAAGTTCCACACAAAATACCCAAAGTCCAGGATATGGGCAGAGGCAGGCTGCTTTTCTATTTAATATTGAATTTGGGCCAGTGTGGTGACTCATGCCTCTAATCCCAACACTTTGGGAGGCAAGGCAGGCGGGTCACCTGAAATCACGACTTTGAGACCGGCCTGGCCAACATAGTGAAACCCCATCTCTATTAAAAATACAAAAATTTGCTGGGCGTGGCAGCACATGGCTGAGGCAGGAGAATCACTTGAACCCCAGCCTGGGCAACATAATGAGACTGCATCTCAAAAGAAAAAAAAATGAATTTGGTGCAGCTGTGGGCAATAAAGCACCTAGTTTACAATGCAGATGCTGCCAGCTTTACATTTATGCAATTTTTCCCATTTTTTAACATAGGGGACTTTTTTTTTTTTTTTCGAGATGAAGTCATGCTCCATCACCCAGGCTGGAGTGCAGTGGCACGATCTCAGCTCACTGCAACCTCTGCCTCCCAAGTTCAAGTGATTCTCCTGCCTCAGTCCCCCAAGTAGCTGGGATTACAGGCATGCACCACCATGACCAGCTAATTTTGTATTTTTGTAGGAGAGACAGGGTTTCACCATGTTAGTCAGGCTGGTCTCAAAGTCCTGACCTCAGGTGATCTGCCCGCTTAGGCCTCCCAAAGTGCTGGGATTACAGGTGTGAGCCACCACACGCAGCTAGGGAATTTGTATTATTATTATTTTAGAAAATAGAAGACATCATATTGTTAGGTTGTAGTCTTTGAAGATCAAGTAGAGTTGCCCCTTGGTAGCTGTGATGAGAGCGGTTCTGGGTCCCCCATGGATACCAAAATCTGCAGATGTTTAAGTCTCTTATATAAAATGGCCTAGTATTTGCATATAACCCATGTACATCCTCTCCTACTCTTTAAATCATCTCTAGATTACTTATAATGCATAATACAATGTAAATGCTTTGCAAATAATCGTTATATTGTTTGAAACTCGTACTTGTTCCTTATTACTGTATTTTTTCCCCAAAACTTTTGATCAGCAGTTGCAGAACCCACAGGTACCAAGGACTGTAATTCAAATCATAAAATGCACCCTAGGCAAAGCCCGCCGGGGCCTCTTCCTCGTGTATGTGGTGGGCTCTAGGCCTCTTCCTCGTGTATGTGGCGGGCTCTAGGCAGGATCTGCTTTGCTTAATGGACAAAGTCAGCCCTGACTTCAGGAAAAGAGCCTGGGAATTTCCATCTTTGACATGCTGGTTTTTTTTTTTTTTTTTTTTTCTTTTTTTTCTTTTTTTTTAAATCATAGTCCAATCAGAGCAAAAGGAAGTTTCACACCCGGGAGAAACCAGTCTAATAACTTTTTTTTTTTTCCTTCTTTTTATTGAGACAGGGTTTCAGTCCTGTAGCCCAGGCTGGAGTGCAGTGGCACGATCTCGGCTCCCTACAACCTCCGTTTCCAGGGTTCAAGCGATTCTCCTACTTTAGCTGGGATTATAGGTGTGCGCCACCACGTCCAGCTAATTTTTGCATTTTTTATAGAGATGGGGTTTTGCCATGTTGCTCAGTCTGGTCTCAAACTCCTGGCCTCAAGTGATCCGCTCGCCTCGGCCTCCCAAAGTGCTGGGATTACTGGCATGAGCCACTGGCCAACAAGCTGGAGTTTTCTATCCGTCAAGTCTGGGAAGCACTCTGAAGGGTTTGTGAAATAGTTTGTTACTTGGCCTCTAGGAAGGCTCAAGTATTGGCTCTTAGGAGGATCGGCATAGTGTGGTGTTTTCATGGGGATTCTGGAGTCAGGTTAGGCAAACCTCTATCCGAATGTGAGCTCAGCAGCTGTGCCCATGGGACCTCCTGGAGTCTCTCATGTTCCCCTATCTGTAAAATTGGAGGCTGGACGAGGTGGCTCACATCTGTAATCCCAGCACTTTGGGAGGCCAAGGCAGGCAGATCACGAGGTCAAGAGATGGAGGCCATCCTGGCCAGCAAGGTGAAATCCCGTCTCTACTAAAAATACAAAGATTAGTCAGGCATGGTGCTGCATGCTTGTAATTCCAGCTACTCAGGAGGCTGAGGCAGAAGAATCGCTTGAACCCGGGAGGCGGAGGTTGCAGTGAGCTGAGATCGCGCCACTGCAGCCTGTCTCAAAAAAAAAGAAAAACAAAAAAACCGGGAACCATCCCCCATCGTCCTACTCTCACCCAGAGCGTCCTTTGAGCAGCCGCGCAGCTGCGAGCCCCTGGCCGGGGCCGCGCTGACCCTCCCGTGCCCCTCGCAGATGCCCGTGCTGAAGCAGCTGGGCCCCGCGCAGCCCAAGAAGCGGCCGGATCGCGGCGCCCTGTCCATCTCCGCGCCGCTCGGCGACTTCCGGCACACGCTGCACGTGGGGCGCGGCGGCGACGCCTTCGGGGACACCTCGTTCCTGAGCCGCCACGGCGGCGGGCCGCCCCCCGAGCCACGAGCGCCCCCTGCGGGAGCCCCGCGCTCCCCGCCGCCGCCCGCCGTCCCGCAGCCCGCCGCGCCTGCCTTCCGCACGCCCGCGCCGGCCGACCCTCTGCTGTCCTTCCACCTGGATCTGGGGCCCTCCATGCTGGACGCAGTGCTAGGCGTCATGGACGCAGAGCGCCCGGACGCGGCTGCCACCAAGCCCGACGCGGAACCCCGCTCCGGGACTCAGCCCGCCAAGGCCCGCTGCCGCCCCAACGCGGACCGGGAGCTGGACGACGTCATCGGCCTCTAGGCTCCCCCCTTCCCCTCCCTTCCCGCGCTGCACCCCACTTCTGTATACATAAACGGCCAACTGTGTGCCCGGGCTCTGACTTTTCACTTTGCACGTGGGAAGGGATGACGTGGGGTGCGGCTCCTTTAAGAGAGCCCGAGGGCGTGGCCAGACGGTGCCCCTTACAGAGGCGGCCGCTCCCGCAATCCCGTTCATCAAATACTGAGTGCTTCCGCCGGCCGTACGTGCTCCTGGGGCCGGGCCAGACGCCCACGGCGGGGCCAGCCTAGGCGGGGCTGCCGAGAGCTGCCGTCCCGGGAGCCTTTCTGGCCCTGCATGCCTCAGGTGGACTCCACCGGGCGGAGCCGCCCTTTACTCTGGGAGCGGCTGCAGAGGGCAGTGTCTGGGTACCCTTTTAGAGCTGTAGGGGCCTGGTCTCCGTGGAGGAAGGGTCCGCAGGCGTCCTGGCTCTTTAAGGTGCCATCTCTCTGCGAACGTGCAAAATGACTGAGGGGACAGGTCCTTAGGTTTCCTAGAGGGGCGAGGCCGCAAATGTAAATAACTCAGACGGAGGCGGGTCCAGGTTCTTTAAAGACGTCCCCTCAGGGGCGGGGCACACCTAAATCACACGGAATGGGGCGGGAGCACACATGTAAATCACCCAGGAAGGGGCGGGAAACAAATGCAAATCACCGGGAAAGGGGGCGGGAAAATGTAAATCACCTGGAAGGGGGCGGGCACACATGAGGGGTACGCAGGTAAATCACCCGGAAAGGGGCGGGGCACTACATGTAAATCACCCGGAAAGAGGCAGCGCACAGGGACCGCCGGGAAAGGGGCGGGGCCAGGTTCTGAAGAGCTCCGGGAGACCTAGACTGCCGCAGCCCGGACGGACTTGCTTTCCTGGCACTGGGGGAGGGCGCAGCCGGGAAGTCCTGAGAACTGGACCAGAGTCCTCGCTGGGGCCCGGGGCGTGGTCCCCTGGGCGGGGCCGGAGCAAGGACCGCTGACGCCAACGTCGGGTGAGACTCGGGGCGTCCAGGCTGGGCGACCTGGTCTGAGCGGCGGGCGCGCCAGTTCCCCGCACCCATGGCGGCGGCCAGAGAGCAGGAGTTGCCGCAGGAAGCCGCCGCTACGGAGCCCATGCCCCCGCTGGCCTGCCGCTTCTTCCTGGAAGGCCGCTGCCGCTTCGGCGCCCGCTGCCGCCAGCCCCACCCCGGGGCGCCGGCGCCGCCTGGCGGCGAGGCGCAGCCCGAGGCCGGAGCCAAGAAGCCGCCGCTGCGCACAGCCGCGGACGTCATCCAGCGCATCCGCTGGGACCCGCGCCTCGACCCTGCCGACTTCTCGGTGGGCTACGCCGACCGCTTCCTGGGCGTGCGCGAGGAGCCCTTCAACGCCTTCTGCTGGGACGAGCCGCTGGCGGCGCTCGGGCCGGGCGTGCTGGCCGTGCCCCAGCACCGCGTTCGCTACTTCCGCTTCCGCGGCCGCCTAGTGTGGGACCGCGCCTCGCGCACCGACCTCGTCTTCGGCTCTGGCTCGGCGGCGGGGCGCGGGCCCACCATCTTGGACGCGCTGTACAGTGAGGTCGTACACGGGGCGGAGGACGCCGAGTGCTCACTGGCGGCGACAGGGCAGGAGGCCCAGGCTGCCCCCGGGCGAGGGAGCGCAAGGCCGCTGTGCACAGAGAACCAGGAGCCAGGCGGGGAGGAGCCCAGAGCGCTGGAGGTGGCCCAGGAGAGGGCGCTGGGCACAGCTGCTTTGGGAACACCGGCCCCAAGAGGATGCCTCGCAAGAGGGACTGAGGGGGCACTGAAGCCAACAGCGGCCGCCAGGACCTCAGAGCTGCGGAGCAAGGAAGCACGAGCCCCGGCAGCCCCGGGGGGCTCCACTAAGAAGACAGAAGCCGAATGGGGTCCTGTAGCCTGGCCTGAGAACAAAGGGTCCGATCTGGCCAGTGCTGCAGCACCTCGCCAGCCACGCCCCACACATTTTGTGGCCCTCATGGTGACTGAGCCTGGGCTACAAGCAGAAGTGACCAAGGCCCAGGAATACTTGGTCCACGTGGCCCCGCACTGCGCTGAGTTCCTAGTGCCCACCCAGAACCTGCACCTAACGCTGGCCCTGCTCCGACTAGCAGGCACTGGAGAGGAGGCAGCTGCCATTCGGGCTCTGAGACGGGCCCTCTTGGCCCCGGGGCTAAACGCACCTCCTCGGCTGAACTTTAGGGAGCTGGTCCTCCTGGGCCCACATGTGCTCTGCGCTCCACCCTCTCCCACATTGGAAGGCATGGCACAAGTGCTGAGCCAGAGGCTGGAAGCCGAGGGGCTAAGAATGCTACAGTCTCCGGGACAGCTGCACCCGCACCTCACCCTGGCCAAGGTGCCGCACGGTTCCCAAGTCCACCTCCCCAAGCTGGAGTTCAGCCTCAGCCAGGAGGTGGGATGCCAGCCCCTGCAGACACTCTGGCTGTGCCGTATGGGGAGGACAGGGCGGCCCTTCCAACCCCTGGCTGAGATCCCGCTGGAGTGACGCCCCCAGACCTCTAGAGACAGAAGGGATGCCAACAGCCCACGCGAGGAAGTCACTGCAGGGACACGGCTCTCTCTCTCTTTCTCTCTTTAATTTTGGTTTCTCTTAAGCTTCCAAATGATGCTCAGTGCTCCGAGGAAAGGAAGGAAGGAAGGAAGGGAGGGGAGAGGAGGGAAGGGGAGGTAGAGGAGGAACATCTGGAAAAAAAGCAGCCTGACAGTCCAGCTGTTCGCAAACTCATAGCACATCCTCCAGTTACATGGCAGAAGAGGGAGGGAGGGAGGGCCAAAAAGAAAAGGGAGAGGACGAAGAAAAATAACTTAAACACACACACAAAGAAAAGAGAAGGAAACATGGCGTGAGCTGGTGATCCATGAAGGCAGGGAGGGAGGGACCATTTTACCTGTGCGGAACCAAGGGGGGGATGCGGGGAGGGGAAGGGAAGGGGGAAATCAGAAGAAACACTGGGGCAGAGGGAGGGGGGGACACGAAGACAACTTAATACAACTTGAGACGAGGCGGCCCAGCCGGCGTGTCCTCAGTGCGGTGTGGCGGCAGAGGATCTGGTGCTGGTGGTGCTGGCACTTCAGGGTGGGGGGCCGAGGACGGGCACAGTCTCTAAGCAGCTCCCCTCACCCCAAACACGGAGGCCCCATGGGGCTGGGAACAAGAGTCTGTGTCGAGGCAGGTGAGGCAGCAGGCGGTGGGCGGGCTTGCTGGGTGCCCCCGCCACAGGCGGGCACGGGCTGGACGGCCTGTCTTCTTTCCACTGGCCCCCCGGCATGGGATGGGCCAGGGCGCTGGGTCGGGTACCGGAGTGCAAGCTCGAAAGAGAGAGAGAGAAAACACTGAGACAGCATTAGTGGAGTGAAAGGCGGACACAGATGAGCCTGCAGACCATGCCCCCAACCCTCCGCTGCCCATCCCCTCCTCCCCAGTCCCATCCCTCTGAGGCAAAAAATAAAAACGTAGAAAAATCTCTGTACAGACTCCCCGCTGGGAAAACGGGGGCAGGGACAGTGGCTCTTCCTGGAGCCCACTCCCCGCAAATAAATTTACAACCCAAGTCCACGGCTCAAAAACAGAATCCGCAAAGGCGGCGCTGGGGGCTAGAGCCCCTGCCCCCGCCCCCTCCTCGCTGGGTGCTCAGAAGGCTGACAGCTGCGCCAGGCTGAGGCGGCAGTCGATGCTGGAGTTCTCCGGGCCCGTGTAGGCCAGGCCCAGGGGCTCTAGGAAGGCCCGGCAGGCGGCCTCGCCCTCGAAGGCCAGCTCGGCCTGCAGGTAGGAGATTGGCAGCGCAGGGCGGAAGCTATGGAGACAAGAGGAGAAGGTGATGAGGCAGGCGGGAGGGCAGGGGAGGGCCCCACGATCAGGGAGGCCCCCCCATTCGGGTACCCACAGGGTTTCCTCAGCACAATACCTGCTGGCTTCCCCACCCGCCTCCCAGCCTCCCCTACCTCAGGGGCTCGGGGGGGCCCGGGGTGGGGTGAGTGGCCCCAGTCCCCAGCTGTGCCCCCCCTCACCCGCACTTACCTGTGCAGGGGGCCAGGGAGGAGAGGGGACAGGAAGGGAAAGGCCCAATGGGCTCCTCCGCTGGCTGAGGGCAGAGGCCAGATGGAGGGAGCAGCACACAGCAGGGGTTGGGGATGGCAGGCCTGGCAGGGCCATGGGGGGGACCCAGCCCTCGCAGCTTCCTCTGCCCTGTGTCACAGTGCCTTTGGGAAGCCAGGCAGAGGTGCCAGCCAGCACTCACTACTAAACACAGAAAGCACTCACTGCCAGCTGCTACTAAGACATTACTGGCTGAGCATCTGGCACGAGCCAGGATCTCAGAGCTCCCTGAACCCTCTTCCATAGGCAATGTGGCCCTACCCTTTCCACACACACAGGAACCAAAGGAGGAGTGCACTGCGTGAGGGCCCTAAGTCCTAGAAGGTGCTTCTGCTCCAACGCCAGAGCCTCATGGAGGCCCTGGGATCACAGCCCGCTCCATCTCCCAGTCTCAGCTGGCAGGGCAGGGTCAGCCCCCTTGTGGTGAAGGTGCTGAGACAGTAAGGTCAATGACAGACTACGGCCCCACCCACGAGGGGCACTCATGGCTATGTCCCCAACCAAGACCAATCATGTATCAATTAACAGGGGCGCTCACCCAACCACACGCCCCTTCAGTGCAGCACTGAAGCTGGAGAGCCACCATCTGTGGGGCCCATCAGGTAGCAGCAGGCTGGGCAGCCTCCCTGCCTCCTCTTCCTTCTCACTTCCCAAGCTGGTCATGGAGTTCTATGCACCGCACCCCACATACTGATTTGCTCCTGTGACTCCATCTCTGACAGCCTCTCCCTGAAGCCGGCTTGACCAAAACTAGATCCCAGAATGAGTTTCCTAACCTCCAGGCTGACAGCCCCTCCCTAGCTCCAAACCTCACGGTGACTATGACCTCAGGCAGAGGGCCAGAGGCCTCTCCAATCTACCGTTGACCTATTTGACCAGAATTTCTCCACCTGGCAAGACTGACCTCTGGGGCCCGATGACTGGTGGGGCAGCATCCTGACCTGTACTCACTAGATACCAGGAGCATCCTCTTGCTGAGACAACTGAAAACCTCTCTCGACACTGCCCATCACCTGGGGTCACCTCAATCACCAGATCGAGAACCACCCATCTAAACGTCAGTCAAGCAACTCTTCCCTACCCACAGCAGTCCAGACACCCTATCTAGTGAACACAGAACCCTGCAGGGGTGTGGCCTTCAGTGTGGTGCCCAGTGTGGCCTCATCCCAAGGGCCTCCCTAAGCATTTCTGGTGTTCTCAAGGGAGCTGAGTGGGAATGGGCCTTGTCCTGTTAGACCAGAGACTGTCTAGATGGTCTCTACAGAGTGGGAGCACAGTGAGAAGCTGAAAAAGCAGAGACCTCAGGGGAGGAAGCCCAGAGCAAGGAGTGAACTAGAGGATCCAGGCAGGTGAGAACAGGAGGAAGAGAAACAGACACAGAGACGGAATGGAGAAGAGGCTCCAGAGGCAGTGAGCTGGCAACAGTGGGGAGACGGGGCGGAGTGATCCGGAACACAGAGGTGGCCAAGAAGGAAAGCAAGAGGGCTGGAGAGAGGATGGCTGAGTAGAAAACAAAGAGGTGGGAGAAAGGACCAGGATAAGGGTCGGGGGCTGGAGGAGGCCTGGGGCCAGGATCTCGTCCAAGGGGAGCTTCGAGGCAGAAGGATGGGAAGAGCTTGCAAGGGCAGAAGGGAGCTTGGCACCACATACGTTTTGATCATGGCCTTGAGGGCAACCTTGCGCTCCCGATCTGCAAACTTATCCACGAGGTAGCCAGACATGCAAGGTGCGTGGCAGTAGAGCCGGAAGAAGCGGTGGTAGTTGCCCAGGGCCCAGGCTGTCCTTAATGCCAAGGCATGGGCCACACAAGGATCTGCCTTCAGTTCCCGTGTAAGGTATGCCAGCTCTGTGGTGATGTCTAGGGCACAAGGGTGTAAATCAGCGGGGCTCAACCCTGGCACCACGACCTCTGTCCTGCGGGCTGGGGCTCACCTCCTGAGTTGTTGGTGAAGATGTAGTAGAGGATTCGGTAGGCAGTGAACTCGCCCACATTGCCAGGCAAATTCTCGGCGTACAACGACTTGAGCTGTGTCTGGCACTGGTTAAACTCTTCGTGGTCACCCTGGAAGGCAGAGGCACGGAGGGAAGGGAGCAGAATGAGGGCGCTGAGGACAGAAATGCAGCAGGAAAGGGGCCAGGGAGCCTGCAGAGGCCAGCTCACCTTCTCCAAGGCGATCCGGGCATGGGTCTCATACACCTCTACTGTGAACTCCGTGCGGATGCCCTGCACCTGGGGTGGCAGGGCAGAAACAAGTGTCACAGGGAGCGGGGGCAGCACCGGCTGAGGCCAGGCCCTCCCAGTGCAAGCCTCACCGTCAGATCCTGCCGGATGGACTTCATCTGCTCGCAGGCAAATGCATAATCCTGCTTCTCTTTCCAGTGGGACTTGACCATGCACAGCGATTTTTTCAAAACCTGGAAAGGGAACTGAATGAACACTCAGGGTGCAACTCCAGGAGGGAGTGCAAGGGCTCCCACTTATTTGTCACCTAAGCCAGGGACCCAGGCCCAAGGGTCAAGTGATTCCCCAGCCAACGCCGCACACCCCACACACAGGGCTCCAGGAGAGCCGTGCACCTTCGCATTCCTCTCAGAACACCAACTGGCCAAGGCTCAGGGCCCCGCCATATCCCAGCCCATATGGCCTCTGCTGCCCTCCCTGGGTGCTGAGCCAGCCCCGCCTCGAAGAGCAGGACTCCCCTGCCTGGGCACTTACAGCCACAGGGCGCACGGTGGACGGGTCGGGAGCACAGGTGAGACGCAGGTAGTGCTTGGTGATGTCGGGGCAGGTGCCTACGATCTGCAGCTCCTGCCAGTCAGGGTCAGCCCCACTGCCCTCCAGGCTGCCCATCTGCAGCACCAGGGGCTCAAGCCTAAGGCGGCGGGAGTGTCCGTGCTGGAAGCGGGCTGCCCGCTTCTGCTTCTTCAGCTCACGCTCGGGGTCCTCACACTCCAGCGCCGCCATCTTCTTTCGACTGCGCTTGGTGGGAGCCAGATCATGCCTAGAAAGGGGCAAGGCGCGTGAGCAGGAGGCATCTCCAGCCACCCTTCAGCCTCCCCTCTTTGGCAGCTGGCTGTCCACCTGTCCGCCCTCTTCCTCTTCCTTCTTGGGTCCCCAGCACCCTCCTCTACCCCGGCCTGTGTCTCAGGCCCCGCCCAGTCTCACCTCTTCCCACGCTGTGCCCTGCCTCGGCCCCGGTCCATGTGGGCCCCTCGGCCTCCCCGGCCCTTAGGGGGTGGGTTCCTGCGGCCCACAGGGTGACACTCATTCCCTGAGTAGGAACTGTCGGAGTCTGAGTGGGAGTCACTGCAAGAAGCAGCAGGAAGGTCAGGCCTGAAACGCCCCCATCCCCTCCACACCCCCCAGTCCGGAGCCTCGGCACCTTCTGCGGAAGTGGCGCGTTGGAGACCTGGAGGAGGAGCGGGAGCGGGAGCCAGTGCTGGAAGAAGAGCTGTTGTCCTTCATGAAGACATTGCGGTTGCCAAACTTGGTGAAGCTGTTGCCCCGGGCTCGACCAGCACCCCCAGCCCCCGGTGTCCCTCGCTGGGATGGGGCACCCCCGCCCCTTGTCGCCGAGCCTGCCCCTCTAGGAGGATGAAGGCTGCTAGGGGCTTCCCACCGCTTCTTCTTGGGGCTCTCAGCCACAGGCTCGCGGGTCAGCCTGAGGACACAGCAGGGCA